AAGAAGAAGAACGTGAGTGTCAAGAGTTTGACGGACTTGGTCCACGTTTTGACTCTGCTCTTTCTAGATGAGTAATCTGGAGAAATTTTTTTATCCCCTCTGACCTAGAATTTCTTTCCCTACAAATTGGAAAGAGTTTAAACAAATAAAGCATTTACTATACTGTGTAGAGCACATACCAAACACCAGTGTATGTTATGGTTATTATTTTTAGTGGTATAATTGCAGGTATGATGATTTATATAATTGTTTGATGTTTTTCTCCTAATTTCTGACAGGGAAATACTTGAAAAAGGCTTGAAGGTATACATGTTAAGAACTTGACTATTGTCTTCTAATAGTAATCAAGTTCTTTTAACAGACTGCAGAGGCTAGAGTGGAATTTAGATGCTTGACAGGTTTGGTATCTGCACTAGATTGCAGTCACATTACTACAGATTCGTTTTCTTTTTACACTTCAAAAATTAAAACAGTAGTACAGACTCATGTTTAAAACAGCAATCTGATCCAAGATTGGATAATGTTTAATGTTCTCCCTAAATCCATACAACTTAATAGGAAAGTCCATAGAATTTTTAGAGCTCTCACACAGGTTTCAGAGATGCTGCTCTATTTCAATCCCTTCATCAGATGAGGAAACTCTGTAGGCAAATTGAGGGAAGAACTCTTTATCTTTGTGTAAGATGTAGATATTATTATACAACTTTCCAAAAGAAAGTTGGAATAATAATCATTAAATTGCTACCATTGCTCCAAGTTTTCGTCTGCTTGCTGTGAATGAGTTTTAAATAAATTTTAGAGCTGCCATCAGTGCATATACTGTTCTGTGTGTTTTCTTTTAACATTGTTATCCTTTATTTTTAAATTTGTCCTGTTTTGACCTGCGTGGTTTGCCCGTTTTTTCCCACGTTGCTGGGCATTTGAGTTATTTCTTACCTTTTCCTAACCCAAGGAGAACAGCTATGTGCATCTTTTTATCAGGTTACTCCCCTGCACACCCCAGACCCCAGTTAATTCCTAGAATATTCCCACAAACTAATCAAGGTATAGCACCACAGCACATTCTAGTTACTGGTTATTAGGCTCAAACTCTCTTCACAAGTAGCTTGCTATTGGGAACTCAAATACTAGAGATTTGACTAAATGTAGGTCTTCCTAGGTGGCTTTTGTTAGGCAGAAAATCTTTTACCTGCATGAAGTGAATTATTATACAAAGACAAGTTTTTAAGGCAGCGGTTCTCAACCTGTGGGTCACGACCCCTTTGTAACAATGAAAATACATCGTGGCATTAGGAAGGTTGAGAACCGCTGGTTTAAGGGAAGGTTTGAGAAGACCTGAGGCAAATTTGACAGTTTTGTAATTTCTCTTGAGTCTGATATTCAGAGTGTCATTTTGTTTTCATACACAGTATATCAAATAGAACTATTTTAAAGATAAACATTCATTTTTAGATTGACCATAAATACATTTCCTCCCATTAGTCCAGAAGTGAGCATGTTTTGGACTTAACCTCACGTAATTCTTTTGTTATAGAAATCCACTTTCATTCCTGAGACCTTAAATACAGATGGGAGTTTCTGTCTTTATAGCAGTCCTGCTGCCAGATACAATTCATCCGCCATGGGAAGGAAGTCTTGTGGCCAGATGGGTAGAGATCCATGGTATAAGGCCAGAAAGATAAAATTGGAAAGAAGAAAAGGAAACTTAGAAAGGACCTCGGGACAGGGCCCTGTGATAAAGATGAACCTGCCTTTAGGCCACTGCTTGTTCTGAGGGTAGGGGCTTCTTTAAAATCATGAAGGAAATGAGTCTCTTAACTTTATTTTTAGTTTCATTTATTTTTGGAATAGATGTTAAATTCACATGGATTAAAATTTAAATGAAAATTCTTCTTCATACTGTGTTCCCCAGCCACTCCTTTTCCTGCCTTAGAGGCAACCAGTATTACTAATTATGTGATTATCCTTCAAAAAGTGTTTTGTGCCTGTACCAGTACAGATGTGTTTATATGCACATATGTCTCTGTGTATGCACACATGTGTTTTTCTTCTTCTTTTATTATGAATGGTTCCATAATATGTGCACTATTATACACCTTGCATTTTTACCTAACACTTAATCTTGGAAAATGTTCTGTATCCATGGAAAGCTCTGGCTTTTTTTTTTTTTTTTTTTTGAGACATACCCTCAAGCTATCCTGGGTAGACTGCTGTGGCATCATAGCTCACAGCAACCTCCAACTCCTGGGCTCAAGCGAGTCTCCTGCCTCAGCCTCCCAAGTAGCTGGGACCACAGGCGCCCGCCACAACGCCCGGCTATTTTTTGGTTGCAGCCATCATTGTTGTTTGGTGGGCTGGGCTGGATTCAAACCCGCCACCTTAGGTGTATGTGGCTGGCACCTTAGCCACTTGAGCCACAGGCGCCGAGCCAGCTCTGGCATTTTTTGAAAGCACTTGAGAAATGTCATGTGTTTTGGACAGGCACAGTGGCTCAAGTCCATAAATCCTAACACTCTGGGAGGCTGAGGCCAAAGAACTTCTTAAGCTTGGGAGTTTGAGACTAGCCCCAGTAAGAAATAGAAAAAAGTTAGTCAGATGTTGTGGCAGGCACCTATAGTCCCAGCTATTCAGGATGCTGAAACAGGAGGATTGCTTAAGCCCAGGACTTTGAGGTTGCTGTGAGCTATGATAACACCACTGCACTCTACCCAGGGTGATAGAGCGAGACTCTATCTCAAAAAAAAAAAAAAGTGATGTGTTGCCAGGTGTGGTGGTGCATGCCCAGAGTCCCAGCTGCTCAGGAGGCTGAAGTAGGATTGCTTGAGTCTAGCCTGAGCAACATAGCAAGACTGCATCTCAAAAAAAAAAAAAAAAGACTGCATCTCTAAAACAAAATAAAAATAAATAAATTACTGGCCAAACTATTAAGACAGAAGGAGATTTATAATGGTAGGACTAAATACTTCATACACTGACATATTTTGAGAGAATTAAAGCTTTAACCTTTTATTGGATAAATTAAAATTATTATAATATTAAAGTTATTTAATAGTAAATATAATTGTTATAAATGATAAATAATACATATTCTTATGTAATTTATATGTGTTTATTAGATATATTTATTAAAATGGTAACATAGTAAATATAATTCATAGTGATATAAATTTTTTTTTTCTCTTCATTTTAGTTAAGTACGAGAATGACGCTAGTAAATATTGGGACACATTTTACAAAATTCATAAGAATAAGTTTTTCAAAGATCGCAATTGGCTGTTGAGAGAATTTCCTGAAATTCTTCCAGTTGATCAAGAAACTAAAGAGAAGGTGGGAGAATCATCATGGGATCATTTAGAAACTAAGACTGCATATTGTTCCTCAAGAATGCACTGCCCTACTATGCCTGAAGGAAAATATCATTGTAAGAAATGTTCTGGCCCTTCAGATGGTCAAAGCAACTTAGACGCTGAACACAGAAAAGGACCTCTGAAGACTGAATTGTTTCCTGGCAGCAGTGCCACTTTCAGAATACTAGAGGTACTGTACTCAAGGGACAAACATGGGAGGTGACAAATAATTTGAAAATGTATATTCCGTATTATTTTATTTACAATTTAGATGTTATAGGTGGAAAATGATCAAATCTAAATTAAGTGTTTAGTAATACTTTTGCGCATAAATAATATATATATGTTTTTTTGTTTTTTTTTTTGAGACAAAGTCTCACCTTATTGCCCTGGGTAAAGTGCTGTGGCAACCTCAAACTCTTGGGCTGAAGAGATCCTCTCGCCTCAGCCTCCTGGGTAGCTGGGACTACAGGCACCCAGCCATTTTTAAAGACGGGGTATCGCTATAGCTCAGGCTGGTCTCAAACTCCTGATCTCAGGCAATCTACCCACCTCGGACTCCCAGAGGGCTAGGATTACAGGCATGAGCCACGCGTGGTGCCTGGCCCCAAAAGACATCTTTAATCAGTAAAGTTTAAGTTTATGGATTTAATTTCATTTTGGTTGTTTTTTTAAATCATCTGTTTTCATTTTAACTTGAGGGCAGTTTCAAGTACCAATAAAGCTTTGCTCTTAAATTTACTCTTTCTGTTATTACCCCTTTTAGATAAAATAGAAATAAATGAGATACATAATTTGCTATAATCTGGTTTTCTATTTTTAAAACTAACCCTCACCTTTATGATTATAGAGGTAACATATATTGATTACAGAGAATTTGCTTAAAAGTAAATACAGAAATGAAATTATCCACAATCCCACACACAAGGGATTTAACCACTTTTAACATTTTATTGACTTTGTTGTTCTTTTGTTTATGTTATACGTGTATTTTAGGGTTTTGCTTTGTTTCTAATTAACATTGTATCATAAGCAGTTTTCCGTATCTTAAAAAAAGTTGTGGGTTAGATTTGCTAATTTATAATGTATGAAAAAATTTAATGCACCTAAAACATACTGCCAGATTGCTTTCTAAGAAGTTGTACTAATATCAGTTCCATAACAGTATATATATCATCACATCCTCATTGGTTGGAATATTCTTTTTTTTTTTGAGACAGAGTCTCATTATGTCACCCTCGGTAGAGTGCCATGACATCACACCTCACAGCAACCTCAAACTCTTGGGCTTAAGCAATTCTCTTGCCTCCGCCTCCTAAGTAGCTGGGACTACAGGCACCCGCCACAATGACTAGCTATTTTTTGGTTGCAGTTTACATTGTTTGGCAGGTCTGGGCTGTGTTCGAACCCACCAGCCTCAGTGTAGTGGCTGACACTGTAACCACTGTGCTACAGGTGCTGAGCCTGGAATATTCTTATTTTAGTGTTTTACACTTTGTTAGACAAAAATTGTACCTTCTTTTAACTTGCACTTCTTTGATTATTAAATAGGTTGAAATGTTTAGACGGTATTTGTACTTCTTTTACATTCTATTTTTTGCTTATCTATTTTTTTTTTTTGATGACCACTGCCTTTTATCACATTTATTGCAAATATTTTTTCTGATAGTGTGTTGGTCACCTTCTAATTTGGTTTGTTTGGGTTTTGGTGTGTAAAAAATTTTAATGTCTCCATAGTTACATTTCTCAGTGTTATTCAAGTCACTTGCTTTTGAGTTTAGAAAACTCTGCCATCCCCAGAGATCCAGTAAATTTCTTTTTGGTTTTTTTTTTTTTTAATAGAAAAGCTGACATTGGTGATGAAAATTTAACCTTGTTTTCATGATATTTGTTTATTCTTTTGGTTTCAGGTTGGCTGCGGAGCTGGAAATAGTGTTTTTCCAATTCTGAATACCTTGCGGTGAGTTAGAGTTTTCTTAGATAGACTTTTACATATTTATGGAATGTTAAAAAATTCTGGAAAAACGTTATCATGTATATGCCAGTGGTTTTCTTAATTCTTATGTAAACAATGACTACAGCAAATTTCAAAAGAAACGTCTTAGTCTTAGTGTCTACTTTCATGTGACCTGGAATTATTCTGAAAATAGAGTTTGCCAGCCCTGGGTTTTCCACCCGGGGTTTGAAGCCATTTTTTAAGCTTGTGTTTATGTGGACCAGAGAATAAGTATAGAGGAGGAAGAGCTGTGAATCCCTAAACTTCAAGATTCTTTTCTTCTCCTCCTGAATACTTAGATGTCATTTTACACATAGAGAAGTGAATTTGAAGCTTAAACCTCAGTCCTCATTTCATTTTGTCATCACTTTTGGAGCAATACCCTATATAAGATCTTTAGACATCAGATCACTATGTCTAGGCTTCAAATCATTTGGCAGTAGCAGCAATTAACCCTATAACTCAAACAAGCAGAAGCAGATGACCAGGACAGAGATGTTCTCCTGACTCGTCCTTCCTGTTCAGCCATGTCACCTTCATGTTTTAATATTTCTTTGGTAAAAAAGACGCCTCTCACAAAACATTTCAAACACCTTTTATCTGGGGATGGTCTGACAGGTTCTAATTTTTTGAAGTTTACACATCAGTGTTTTTCCATCATAAAATCTGCATAAGCACACTGCAGAACCTTTCCATTAGAGGAAAAAGGGAGGGGGGATCACTCATCACCCCCACCATCCTAACATAGCCATGGACAGAAGTTTTGTTGTGTTTTAATTCCTTTTAGTCTTCTCTCTATGCATGTTTTTTTAATTTAATGATGAGATCTTTTAAACTTTTCATTATGAAAATGTAAAAGCACGGGGGGCACCTGTGGTTCAAAGGGGTAGGGCACTGGCCCTGTATACTGGAGGTGGTGAGTTCAAACCCAGCCCCGGGCCAAAAACTGCAAAAAGAAAGAAAATGTAAAAGCACTCAAAAAAGCAAAGAGTTGTACAATGAATTTCCATATACCCATCACCTCCATTCAACAATTACTAACATAATGCCAACATCATGACACTTTATTTTTGATTATTTTGGATTTAGCTCTCCAAACTCTGGACATTCTCCAATACTGCTATAAAACCTAATGTTATGAATAGTGAGTGATTCTCTAATGTCATCTGATAACCAGTTAAACTGGCCAGGCACAGGTGATGCTGATAAACTTACAGTTCTGGTTTTTTTGTTGTTGTTGTTGTTTTGAGACAGAATCTCACTTTGTCCCCTGGGTAGAGTGCCATGGCATCACAGCTCACAGCAGCCTCACACTCTTGGGCTCAAGCAGTCCTCTTGCCTCAGCCTCCCAAGTAGCTGGGAGTACAGGCACCCACCATAATGCTTGGCTATTTTTTTTAGAGCTGGGGGTCTCGCTTTTGCTCAGGCATGTCTTGAACTCCTGAGCTCAAGCAATCTGCCCACCATGGCCTCCCAGCATGGGAGGATTACAGTTGTGAGCCACCACGCCCAGCCTAAACTTACAGTTCTGAATGGCCTTTCTCTATTTGTATTTATTATCTTTGTTTTCCTTCTTCAAGTTTCTGGGCTGAAATTTCTGTTTCTTTATAATATATAGCCAGGTTCCTTTACCCTGGTGATCTCTTTGGTGTGTGAAATTGTAATACACATGTTGATTAAATATATTTATGTGACTTTATGACTGATCTCAAGGTATTATTTAGCTTTTCTTTATGCCTTGTCTAAGTGCTTTTTATATTCCTTAAAGTAGATAGCATATTTTATCTTGATCTCATTTCCCAGGTTGAGCTCAGGACATACTAACTGATTGATATCTCAGACTGTCCCCTTGTTCACTGTATTTTCCCCTCTCTACTTTTCCCTCTGACTTATAATTGCAAGCTCTTGACTCCTCCCTCCCTAACTCTTTCCTCTTGGCTGTGTCTTTCTTTTCCTCATACTCATGTTTTAGAAATCATTGTAGCTCAATAACCTGAGATAATTCCTTCTTTAAAAGGCAGCCAGTGATTAGCTTTCCAAAGGGAGGATTAGCCCTTTTTTTGCATCTAAGAAATTATGTTTTATTACTTTTGGAGAGCATTGGATTAATGTTTTACATTTTCAGAATATTTTACCATAATTAGATCTCTAGAATTAAGAGGTCATGTCATTCTCCAAGGATCATTTATTTCTTAAACCCCCTGCCAAGAGTGCTTGGTGGTATGTTGGTGGTAGTGATATTTACACCTGCTTACTGGGAGAAGGGCCAAGGCAGTCAGCTGATTTTACAGAAAGGCTCTGGAAAGTCATGGGTGGTCACAAGACTTCAACTTGGGCTGCTGATGCAGTGGGAATTTAGTCTCAAAGGTCATGCTGCCACCCTAGTAGCATACATGGCAAATGCCATGTTCTTTCCTTTAGCTCCCAGACTATTCTTTGTCTTTTGGGTATTCAGTAACTACTGCCCAAAGGTAGCAGACCCTTTGTAATGAGCTAGATGTACCAGTGTCCAGAAAATCATTTTAAGTTATACAGATGTCTTTAAAGGACCATGTTAGTTTTCAAGTTCCTAGAAGACAGAGGCAAATCTCCTTTAAAAATAATAATAGTAGGCTCGGCACCTATAGCTCAACTGGCTAAGGCGCCAGCCACGTACACCTAAGGTGGCAGGTTCGAATCCCCAGCCCAGACCCACCAAACAACAATGATGGCTGCAACCAAAAAATAGCCGGGCGTTGTGGCGGGCGCCTGTGGTCCCAGCTACTTGGGAGGCAGAGGCAAGAGACTCGCTTGAGCCCAGGAGTTGGAGGTTGCTGTGAGCTGTAATGCCACGGCACTCTACCCAGGGGGACAGCTTGAGGCTCTGTCTCAAAAAAAAAAATAATAATAATAGTAGTAATAATAGCACCAACAGTTATTAATAATGACCAACATTTACTGAGTGCTTACTCTGAGTCAGGTGCCTTTTTAGGAACTTAACCTATAAGAATCCATGCAGTCCTCCCAACCATTCTAGACGCGATGTTTACCTCTATTTTAAAGATGAGGAAACTGGCTTGGTACCCATAACACAGTGGTTATGGCGCCGGCCACATGCACCAAAGCTGGCGGGTTCAAGCCCAGCCTGGGCCAGCTAAACAATGACAACTGCAACAAAAAATAGCTGGGCGTTGTGGCAGTCACCTGTAGTCCCAGCTACTCGGGAGGCTGAGGCAAGAGAATCACTTAAGCCCAAGAGTTTGAGGTTGATATGACCTGTGACGCCAGAGCACTCTACTGAGGGCAATATAATTAGACTCTGTCTCAATAAATAAATAAATAAATAAATGGAAAGTCAGTTAAAGAGAGATTGAATAACTAGCCTAAGGTCATATGCTAAGTGGTAGAACCAGGAGTCAAACCTTAGCCAGTCTGATTACAGAGCCCTTGTCTTTAACCATTATTCCTCATAGTGTTATACGCATCTGAAAGTTAACTGAAAACATTTTACATGTACCCAGACAACAAATTTTAAGTCACAATTGCATGGATTTCATCGGAAACAACAGGGGTGCATGCTGAAATAATATGCTGTTTTATATAAGGCAGATGAGGAAAGACCAGAACAGTACAAGTTTTAACTTTGACTCAGTACTGGTTAACTTTTTATAACCAACTTCTATTTATCATACTTAAACTTATTTAGATGGATCCTAAATTTAATGCAAATCTCTAATTCCATGAAATGAGTGATTATATGTGAACATAGTTATTCATCAATGAATACCCTTTAGAGTGTAATCTGGCCCCGCGTGGTGAATCATGCCTATAATCCTAGCACTTTGGGGGGCTGAGGTAAGAGGATTGCTTGAGGACAGTAGTTTAAGACCAACCAAAGCAAGAATAAGACCCCATCTCTATAAAAAATAGAAAAATTAGCCAGGATGTTGGCCTGTATTACCCAAATAGTCCAGCTCTAAGGAGGGAGAACAGCTTCAGCCCAGGAGTTTGAAGTTCCAGTTAGCTACATTATGCCATTCACTCTAGCCTGGGCAATAGCAAGAGACCATATGTTTTAAAAAATGTAATCTGAGCCTCAGTGAGTTTTTGCTAAATGCATATTATGCTTGTATTTAATATTTATTTAGAGGTACTTCTTGCTTAAAATGCCTCCTGAATCAATTAGAAGTCCTCATTTTGTGTAAAGGCCTATCTTTATAACCTGCCGTATACAAGTTTAGGTTCTCAAAATTAGTTCTCATCCCTGCCTTGAGAATCCCACCTCTAAACCTTTATACCATTTCTTCTCCTCCTCACTTAACAAGGCCATCCTCCTCCTTCAAAAGTTTTAAAACTTTAACACTTCACATGCCAGCCCTCTCTACACCCCATAGAAGTTGTATAAAATCATTTATGTCCCTAACAAGACTACACAATCCATGAGACCCAGGACTATACTTAGGATTAGAGTGAGGGTTAGGGTTAGACAATTATTATTTAATGACTTTTTTTTTTTTTTTTTTTTGGAGACAGAGCCTCACTTTATTGCCCTGGGTAGAGTGCCATGGCATCACAGCTCACAGCAACCTCTAACTCCTGAGCTCAAGCGATTCTCCTGCCTCCACCTCCCAAGTAGCTGGGACTACAGGCGCCTGCCACAACGCCTGGCTATTTTTTGGTTGCAGCCGTCATTGTTGTTTGGCAGGCCCCGGCTGGATTCGAACCCACCAGCTCAAGTGTATGTGGCTGGCACCTTAGCCACTTGAGCCTATTTAATACCATATTAACCTCTTTCTGTAATTCAGACATGGCACTAAGCAATATGATGCCAGATTATTTGATACCAGGAAGGGTACAAAATTCAGGGTTTATATGTGCCCATGATAATCATGGTCCAAGTATCATTACTGAATTTCTTTTTTTTTTTTTTTGAGGGGGGTAAAACTATTTTATTGAAGAATACAAGAGTATATACTATTCTGTCAAAGAGTATATATGTATTATAAAGTAACAGATGTGGGTGGCGCCTGTGGCTCAGTGAGTAGGGCACCAGCCCCATATACCGAGGGTGGCGGGTTCAAACCCAGCCCCTGCTAAACTGCAAAAGAAAAAGAAAATAGCCAGGGGTTGTGGCCGGCCCCTGTAGTCCCAGCTATTCAAGAGGCTGAGGCAAGAGAATTGCCTAAGCCCAGGAGTTGGAAATTGCTGTGAGCTGTGTGATGCCACAGCACTCTACCGAGGGCAATAAAGTGAGACTCTGTCTCTACAAAAACTAAATAAATAAATAAATAAAATAGAGTAACAGATGTTACATGTACAACTCCATGAATTTTTACATGGTAAACACGCCTATGTAGCAATCACCCAGAGGAAAACATGGAATATTGCTGGTATCTCAGCAGTTGCCCTCATATTTTCTTTCTCTCTTTTTTTTTAATTAAATCATAGCTGTGTAGATTAATGCAATTATGGGGTACAGTGTACTGGTTTTATATACAATTTGAAATGCTTTCATCAAACTGGTTCAAACTGGTTAGCATAGCTTCACCACATTTTCTTAGTTATTGTGTTAAGACATTTATATTCTACACTTAGTTGATTTAACATGTACCCTTGTAAAATGCACCATAGGTGTGTTCCCACCAATTACCCTCCCTCTACCCATCCTCACCCCCCTTTCCCCTTCATCTTGGGCTGTAGTTGGGTTATAGCTTTCATATGGAAGTGTGGGTGCTTATAAATTGGTTTCAAAGTAGGACTGAGTGCATTGGATACTTTTTCTTCCATTCTTGAGATACTTTGCTAAGAAGAATATGTTCCAGCTCCATTCATGTAAACATGAAAGAGGTAAAGTCTCCACATTACTGAATTTCAAATAAAGGCCATACAGAACATGTTTGAGTTCAGAGGAAGCCAATTAAAAATCACACAGGTAAATTTACTTTCTTCACAAATTAAAAATAAAGCAACTGAGTCTTAGAGAAATTACGTCCACAGAGTTAACAAGGGACAAATTCAGGATTCAGACACATTCAATTTGGCTCAAACATCTTATCATTTTACTGGATATTTTCATATACTACTTTGTATTCTAATGCTTGGTACATATATGAAGCTCAATGAAAGGTGACAATAACTTGAAAAAATAACTAAGTTAATATGTTAGTGTTTTATTATCTTTAAGAAGTTGTATTTGCATGCTACTTAAGTATATATCTCTCTCTATATATGTATATATATCTATCCATCTACATATATATCTATACATGTATATATATTAGGGCATCAGAACTTCTGTGACAGGCCTAGGTAGGAACCAAAGAGTTGCATAGAAAGGAAGAGGAATGAAGCACCAGGACACAGGCATCTGAGAATCCTTAGAAAAGGATGGAACTTGGCTACGCTAAGAGGAGCTGCAGGACACGATGAGGAGACACAGAGGAGGACGACGGAGCAGTGCTGGTGGGTGGTTTTGAAGGTTTCCCCTGTGGGAATATGACAAGGACAAGATTCTTACCACAAGGATTAATGTGGGTATTGAGCATATTAAGCACTCTAAGAGCTGAGACAGATTCCTGAAACGTATGAAGGGAAATGATGAGAAAAAGAAGGAAGCCAAAGAGCCCTGGGTTCAACTGCAGTGCAACCTGCTCCACCCAGAGAAGCACACTGTGAATTCATGGCATACTAGGTGTAAAAAATGAGAGACTACTGCAAAAAAAGAAAGAAAGAAAAATATTATTACAAGTCAAACCTACACTTTCCTTTCTTCTCTAGTTTAAATTTATATGAGCTCTAGATTTAAATATTTTTTTCCATTTTCTTAGGAACATTCCAGAGTCCTTTCTTTATTGTTGTGATTTTGCTTCAGGAGCTGTGGAGCTAGTAAAGGTATGCCTTATGTTTCCTTTCAAGAGAGCCTACATAAAGGTCTAATTTATTTGCTTTTGAAGTGATACCTTTGAAATGTTTCTGGATCATATGTTACCCATGACCATTCTTAACTGACCTTTTACTATTTCCAGTAATCACATCAGCTAATGTCTAAGATACTACCCTAAAGCAATAGAAGTTGTTTGTACATCTCAGGGACTGGTACTCCCAGAAAGGCCAGAAACCAAGAGGGATAGCCAGGAAGGATACTGACATACAAATTTCAGACAATACACCTGCTCCAAACAGAACTTGTTTAAGATCAGAAACAACACAGGGTAGGCCTTTAACAATACCGCTTACTGCCTCATAAAATCTGCCCTCCTCCACTTTTAAATTTAAAGAGGAATTGTGAATATTTGTTATCAAGTCCAAGTACTAGCCTTAATTTTTTAGGGCAGCTTGAAATAAGCTAACAATACCAACCTAGAAATAAAGTACCTTCAGATTTACAGAAGAAAGGCTCCTGGGAGAAAAGGTAGAAAATCTGACCTTTATATTTTTTAAAAAATCCCAGACGTCTACTAACCGCTTTTGCTTTTTATTCCTTTATCATGACAGTCGCACTCGTCCTACAGAGCAGCCCAGTGCTGTGCTTTTGTTCATGATATATGTGATGACGGCCTACCCTACCCCTTTCCAGATGGCATCCTGGATGTCATTCTCCTGGTCTTTGTGCTCTCTTCTATTCATCCTGACAGGTAAATGAAGACAAAAGGGCAAAGCACATGTGTTAAGCTCCTTCATCAGTAGTGGTCTACAGAACTATCAGAGCAAAAATGACAATTCTTGAATTTATTATTTAGCCAACTACATTGTGTATTCCATGAAGACTTTTAGATGCAGTCTTTCCTGTCTTCAGGCTTTTTTGGAGGAAGCTGGTCAAACTACTTCATTAGTGAACTTTCTGTCACTGTCAAAATGAAGTGAGCATATTCTGGCAAGATACATACCTATTAAAAGTGACAGTTCTTCAAGGAAATTACAAATTCAAAACAACTAATAGACTCCCAAGAGGGAAATTGTACTTGGTGATCAGAAACAAACATCTTTGATTTAGTGTCTTTCTGAATGTTCATGAATAGGTGGGCTGTGGATCTGACTTCACACAGGTCTATGGAGCGGCTTTAAAAAATTGGTTTCAGGCTCAGCGCCTGTGGCTCAAACGGCTAAGGCGCCAGCCACATACACCTAAGGTGGCGGGTTCGAATCCAGCCCAGACCCGCCAAACAACAATAATGGCTGCAACCAAAAAATAGCTGGGCGTTGTGGCGGGTGCCTGTGGTCCCAGCTACTTGGGAGGCTGAGGCAGGAGACTTGCTTGAGCCCAGGAGTTGGAGGTTGCTGTGAGCATTGAAGCCATGGCACTCTACCCAGGGGCTCAGCTTGAGGCTCTGTCTCAAAAAAAAAAATTGGTTTCAAAGAAGCTTACCAGGTCCAGATTAGCTTTGGACTTAGACGATCTAATGTTAGCCTCATTTGTATATACATATGTATGACTTAAATATTTATATTTATCAAATTTTAAACTATAAATATAGCTCTTCTCCAGAGAGAAAATATAAAGAGATATTATCACCAATTAAAATGATTATCTTTCTTAAAATCGTGCCACCTGGGCAGCACCTGTGGCTCAAAGGAGTAGGGCACTGGCCCCATATACCGGAGGTGGAGGGTTCAAACCTGGCCCCAGCCAAAAAAAAAAAACCTTGCCACCTTCCATGTATTAAAACATGTGTATGGTAAGTGTCAGGGCTTGTGCATGCTTAAGATTTCCTAAAATTGGGTTTTCACAATTTCCTGGTAAGAGATACAGATTTGGGATCAACCACTTCTTACCTGATAAGTGAGACCCACAGAAACAGAGTTACCATGTGCTTCTTTCTTTGCAATTATAAGGCCACTAGGACCCTTTATAGTTCTTTTACTTTCCATTCAGAGATAAGTACTTTGGCTACTTAAGAAAGAACAAATTATATTTCCAAATAAATCCAAAAGAAAGATACATTTGTGCCTGGTGAGATGTATCAGTTTTTCCTCCCAGTTTCTATAACCTATTTCTTTTTGCTAATCCGTGCAGATTATTGGCATTGTTCAGGAACTAGTATGTCATCTGTATTTTGTTCCTTCTATGAACAGTTAAAAAGATAGAATAAGTGGATAGAGAGAGAATAAGATTTCCTATTTAACACCCATAGGAGGAAACATTTAAATTCTAAATATGATCACAAAAAGACTATTTGAAATTAGTTTATATCATGTATTTTCTCATTATTTGAATTGAATGTTAAAGAGCAAGGGAAACTGATTATCTTAGGAAGATTGCTTTTATAATACAGTACTTCATGATATTTATTACAAAATAAATTCAGAGGTACCATATCAGTACCCACTTTCTTACCTACATGGAAATAATCTAAACACAAGGTGAATGAATAACAGGGGGGTGGTAGTAAGTGAAAGGCAAAGCAATGTCTTTAGAGTCATTGAGGACTATAGTAATAGATTCCCTCAGGAAAATTCTAGAAAAGTAGCATCTAGGCAGGTTGGAAAATTCAGGCACAAATAAATGGCAACCAGTTCTTAGTCTGGGGGATCCCAGCTTAAATGGGAATAAATTGTAGGAGGCTGCAAGAGAAGAGCCAATTGTCCTTATCATTGAAAGAAAAGAAAGTATAAAATACAGATCCAAGCACAGGGTAGGCAGTCAATAAGTACCATTTTTTTATCTTTTGTTTTCCATGTCCTCACCCTCAATCCAGAGATAGGTGAGGACAGCAAAGTCAGCCCCTGTGGGATAAAGAAAGAACAGGGTTTTGTCCCAATCTAGTTTCCTCTGTCTCAACCCCAGCCTGCTCCCCCATGATGTTCTCAGGAACTGAGTCTGGAACTGCATTTGGAACCAAGATGAGGTGATCAAGAAAAGTAGCTGCCACTCCCTGCCTTCATCTACAACCTCAGACATTAAAGGATAGTTGGGAGGAAAGGTTTTGCAGGAGGAGGTGGCTATATTTTAAAGTATTTGGTTCTATGTTTTTCTGCATTTTAGTTTCATGCTTGTTTTACTAATAATTACGGAGAGTTTGCTCTGTACATAAAACGTTTATCCTGAAAGTAAATATTTTAAGGTTTAGATATAGTTTTCTTTTTTCTTTTCTTTTTTTTTTTTTATAGAGACAGAATCTCACTTTATTGCCCTCGGTACAGTGCCATGGCGTCACACAGCTCACAGCAACCTCCAACTCCTGGGCTTAGGCGATTCTCTTGCCTCAGCCTCCCAAGTAGCTGGGACTACAGGTGCCCGCCACAAGGCCTGGCTAGTTTTTTAGAGACAAGATCTCACTCTGAGTTAGGCTGATCTTAAACTTGTGAGCTCAGGCAATCCACACACCTTGTCCTCCTAAGTGCTGGGATTATAGGCATGAACTACCAGGCCCAACCTGAATCCTTTTCAATATAGCTCTGTAGGCAGCTAATTGGTCTCTCAGCAATGACACAAGATTTGAAATCTTTGGCTCGGTGCCTGTAACTCAGCGGCTAGGGCATCAACCACATACACCGAAACTAGCGGGTGTGAATACAGTCTCGGCCTGCCAAACAACAATGACAACTGCAACAAAAAATAGCCATGCACTATGGCAGGCACCCGTAGTCCCAGCTACTTGGGAGGCTGAGGCAAGAGAATCGCTTAAGCCCAAGAGTTGGAGGTTGCTGTGAACTGTGACACCACGGCACTCTACCCAGGGCAACAGCCCAAGAGTTCGAGGTTGCTGTGAACTGTGACACCACGGCACTCTACCCAGGGCAACAGCTTGAGACTCCATCTCAAAAAAAAAAAAAAAAAAAAGATTTGAAATCTTTGCCATTCCTGGCCCATGATCACAAACAAGGCCACGAGCACTTGGCCAGAATCAAGAGCAGTTACAAGGGGTCATATTTGATTGGAAGCCAGGTAAGTAGAATAAATAGTAAAGGGAAGAGAGCAAAGGCTTCTCCTAAGCTAGGGCTTAATGAATGAGTAAAGTTTAAATAAGCAGAGTAAGGAGAAGAAAATTCTTTGAGGGAAAATCATATGAGCAAAAGTATAGGCTCTGAGTATAGGCTGCTCAGAGCCAAGTATGAAATAGTTAGATGAGGGAAGATGCTGCAGGTTGGAAAGCTGTTGGAAAGATGAATTGGGGTCAGTAGTAGGAGATCCTAAGAATTCAACTAAGAAATTAAAGTTTTGGCTCGGTGCCTGTGGCTCAAGCCGCTAAGGCGCCAGCCACATACACCTAAGGTGGAGGGTTCAAATCCCCAGCCCGGGCCCACCAAACAACAATGATGGCTGCAACCAAAAAATGGCCAGGCGTTGTGGTGGGCGCCTGTAGTCCCAGCTACTTGGGAGGCTGAGGCAGGAGACTCGCTTGAGCCCAGGAGTTGGAGGTTGCTGTGAGCGTGATGCCATGGCACTCTACCCAGGGGGGATAGCTTGAGGCTCTATCTTAAAAAAAGAAAAAAAAAAAGAAATTAAAGTTTTATCCTGTGGGCTCGGTGCCCATAGCTCAGCGGTTAGGGTGCTAGCTATGTACACCAGGGCTGGCGGTTCAAACCTGGGCCAAGCCTGCTAAACAACAACGACAATTGCAACAAAAAAAATAGCCGGGTGGTATGGTGAGCACCTGTAGTCCCAGCTACTTGGGAGTCTGAGGCAAGAGAGTTGCTTAAGCCCAAGAGTTTGAGGTTGCCATGAGCTATGCTGCTACAGCACTCTACTGAGGGCGACAAAGTGAGACTCTGTCTCTAAAAATAAATAAATAAAAATAAAGTTTTATCCTGTGGATTAAAATCATGAGTTTTGAGCAAGAGGGTGACTTGACAAAACCATTATTTTAAGCAGAATTAACTCACTGATAACATGCTAAAACAGTGGTTCTCAACCTTCTAATGCCGCAACGTATTTTCATTGTTAAAAAGGGCTTGCACCCCACAGGTTGAGAACTGTACAAGAATTGACAGAAGAATAATAAAGCATGTTAGGAAATGGATTTGTTTCTACGCTTAAGGAGATAGAGGAAAAGGAGAATGATCTAGTTTTGGAGGGAAGGACATTTCCTGTTTGTTTATATACAATCTGGGATGGCTCTGGCATACGTTTTATCTTGCAAAGAAAATGAAGCACACTCATTTTTTTTGTCTACCTCAGAAACTTCTTAATTGCTGTAAATAGCAGGAAACATCTGTGGTTCAGTTTTGCACCATACATCAAGCTCTGTGAAGTTACTACCCTGGTCACTGGGCTGATTTGTTTTCTCTAGGCCTTTTGTATCTGGTCATTGGTATTCTCTTATTTCCTGTTTATAAAATATTTTTGGTTTTGTTGCCCTTATGTTTGTGGTTTAGATCTCTTTGGCCTTGCTGAGCTTTTTTTATTTGTCTTCAAGAAAGTTAAATCTGGCAGATAAAACAAGATTTCCACAAATAGGTTATCTCACTTTGTTTTCAAAGGATGCAGGGTGTTGTAAACCGACTGTCCAAATTACTGAAACCTGGGGGAATGCTGTTATTTCGGGACTATGGAAGATATGATAAGACTCAACTTCGTTTTAAAAAGGGTAATAATATATTTAGTTTGGGGCGATTTTCACATATTTGAAAGAATCCTTTGTTTCTATTTCATGTCAAGTTATTTTGTTGAGGGGGGTTTCGTTTCTGTTTTAAAGAATACTAAGTTTCTCTTTCTGTAATTCTTTTTAGGGCATTGTTTATCTGAAAATTTTTATGTTCGAGGAGATGGTACCAGAGCATATTTCTTTACAAAAGGTATGCTAATCTACAAGAGGAAATGGTTAGCTATGAATACTCTCTTTGGTTATAGTTCAAAAGCTCTAATAGTTGATTAACACTGGATGTCTTCATACTTTTGTGCCTATAACTAACTCTTCTGCATAACTGCTGACAATGGCCTTTTTGCCTTTTAATCTTTTTCCAGTTAAAACTGTTTTTTTCTTTTTTTATTAGACAGAGTCTCACTCAGTTACTCTAGGCTAGAATGCTATGGAGTCAGGCTGGCTCCCAGCAACCTCAAACTCCTGGGTTCAATCCTCTGCCTCAACCTCTTGAGTAGCAGGACACCTGGCTCATTTATTCTAATTTTAGGAGAGACAGAGTCTCGCTCTTGCTCAGGGTTGTCTCAAACTCCTAACCTCAAGCGATCCTCCTACCTCAGCCTCACAGAGTACTAGGATTCCAGGCATAAGCCACCGTGCCCAGCTAGTTAAAATTGCTTTAAAGAGTCACTGTTTTGGCTCGGCACCTATAGCTCAACCGGCTAAGGCGCCAGCCACGTACACCTAAGGTGGCGGGTTCGAACCCCCAGCCTGGACCCACCAAAACAACAATGACGGCTGCAACCAAAAAATAGCCGGGCGTTGTGGCAGGCGCCTGTTGTCCCAGCTACTTGGGAGGCGGAGGCAGGAGACTCGCTTGAGCCCAGGAGTTGGAGGTTGCTGTGAGCTGTAATGCCACGGCACTCTACCCAGGGGGACAGCTTGAGGCTCTGTCTTAAAAAAAAAAAAAAAAAGAGTCACTGTTTCACCCTCATACGCAAATGAAGGTGCAGTTTGTTCCGTTTTGGAAATATTGTTAGCCCAGATATGAAAAATATTGATGACATGCCACACCCAAAGGAAGCAATTTTATTTCATACATCTATGGAAAATTACTTCATCTCCTATCAATTTCTCATTTTAGAAAAGCATTTCTGACAGTATCAAATGAATCCTTTATTTAAGGATTTACCCAAATTTATGTGAGTGCTTTTATAATCTCCCATTTTGGGTCTCCGTAAACCAACAGGAACTCTGAAACAGAGCACCTTTCAAAATGTTGACAGCTGCAACCAATAGGTTTGTATATCTGTTTATGCCTGGTGCATTAGCGTGTTTACACTGGGTGTATTTTTGTGAAGTAGAAGAAACCCACTTGGTTTCACAGGTTTCCTTCACCAAGTTGTACCAGAGATTATTTCTTGGTATAAGTGAAATTCATTTATTCTTCCCTCATTCTTTTTCAGTGCTGATCTCTCTCTCTGGAACTATTTCTATTGCTTCCACCACCATATGATATGTTGGTTGTGGTTGGGCATCATCCTTCCCTGCTATTTGGGCCATGATTTCTATAGATGAAGTTTATTTATACCAAGATCATCAGTCATTCTATCAATGTTGCAATGCTCCTGACCTCCCTCTGTTACCAATCACACGTCATATCTCTGACTGCCATTTTGTCTCACAGGGGAAGTCCATGAGATGTTCTGCAAGGCCGGTTTAGATGAAAAGCAAAATCTGGTTGATCATCGCTTACAAGTTAATAGGAAAAAACAAGTGAAAATGCACCGAGTGTGGGTTCAAGGCAAATTCCAGAAACCATTGCAGTGGACTCAAAATAGCTCCAAATTGGCGTTTTCACTCCTTTTTCATAATTGAACTGTGTACCACGTTAACGTGCAAAACCAGAGGACCATGTTACTCAAAGACTCCTACAAGTCTTTCATTTCCCTAAAGACAGTAAGAAGGAAAGTATTCATGGGTGAGCTCTTTTGTATATTTTAATCACATGTAAGTGATTTGGTAGAGTACACCTCTGTCTGTGTTTTGAAATTTTGATATGTCCAAGCTTGTTTGGGTTTATCACATATAACCATTTTACTTGTTCCTTAGGTTTTATGATATAATTATTCAATTAAATTACTGGTATAAGTCAGATAATTTTGAGAAACCATACTTTGCAAATTTTTACAAGTAGAAAAAATTATCCACTTTATTTTTACATTAGGCTTAGTAAACCAGTTCCCAAACACAGTCAAACTATCCCCATTGTACTCTGATAGCAGAGAGGCACCACACCTTGTTTCCAGGGAAAGCTTCAACAGGCTAGGATCAAGATGTATCATTTTGTTGTGTTGTTGTTGTCTGTTTTCCCCAAGGTTTTGTTGGGTTTGTGTTTGTTTTGATTTTTTTGAGTCAGGGTCTTGCTCTGTTGCCCCTGCTTATGCATAGCACACCATAACCTCAAACCTCTGTCTTCAAGTGATCCTCCTGTTTTGGCCTCCCAAATTCCTGGATTTAGAGGCATGATCCTCTGTACCCGGCCTTTTTTTCTTTTATAGTCAGAGACTGATGTCTGAAATTTAATTTTAGTTTCTCTTTCCTTTCCTACAGTTGGGGAAGTATGGCCTATTCTAACATTATTTTCAGGCTATTCTTAAATGTACAATTTGTTATAAACTCTCTTTAAGACAACTAACATACCTAAGAAAATTCTTAAATCATAGCAGCCGAAAATTTATTTGCCCCTTACCTTAAAAAGGACTCGAGTTGGCTTACAAATTGCACCTTATAAAAATAGAGTTTTTAAGACTGGTCTCTTATTCATTACACAATACTTATTGCGTACTTACACTGTACATGGAATAAAATGATCGATAAAGAATTAACCCTGTCGGCTCGGCGCCTGTGGCTCAAGCGGCTAAGGTGCCAGCCACATACACCTAAAGTGGCAGGTTCGAATCCCCAGCCCGGGCCGCCAAACAACAATGATGGCTGCAACCAAAAAAAAAAAAAATGGCCAGGGGTTGTGGGGGGTGCCTGTAGTCCCAGCTACTTGGGAGGCTGAGGCAGGAGACTCACTTGAGCCCAGAAGTTGGAGGTTGCTGTGAGCGTGATGCCATGGCACTCTACCCAGGGGGATAGCTTGAGGCTCCGTCTCAAAAAAAAAGAATTAACCCTGTCTACAGGGAGCATAGGATCTAACTAGCAAAGCAAAATGTGCATATCCCAAACCTCTAAGTCATAATCTAAGATGATATACAGTCAGGCATTCAAATAGAGAACTTACCAGCTAGTGGACTTTGATTATGAACAACAGAAATCTGAAAAAAATCAACAATCTCTTGAAAGAACCACCATTAGAATAATTCAGTCCAATTATTTTTTCTTTTTGAATTCACCTAAAATTAAATTTTCTGGAAGAATATAATCAGTCCAACTTGGGTCATGGATTCATCTCTTGATCAGCTGGGGCAGGGCAGCCTAATTGATGGTGTCAACAAAATGTATGGAATAGAAAATGTTCTTCAAAGGAAAATCAAGACATTACTGTCAAAAATAGCAGAGAAAGATGATGCCCAATCCCAACCAACACATCATAAAGTGGTAGAAGCAACAGGAATAGTAGTTCCAAAGAGAGAGATCAGCTCTGAAACAGAATGAGGGAAGAATCAGGCTTCTTTCTGAAGGAAGGAGGACCTGGAGCTGGCCCTGGGACACACCTTCTCAGAAGACAGTGAGAAGACAAGTCTTCTTGGTGTGGAACATTAAGGATGAGGAAAAGTGGAGAAAAGATAGGGAAAAGGTCAGCTTGTAGACAGCCTGGAGTAGCAGGTATCTTGACTTCCGCCTGTGAACCGAAACAATCTCTGGTCAGTTTGTTTCTGTTTTCTCTGAGACATGATGTGTTATAATCATGTTTAGAGAGATCGATAAAGGAGTTGTCCATAGAATGGAGTGAGGTCAGATATCATTGGCAAAGAAGACTACATGAAAGTTGTTGCACAAACTTGCCTTGGTAGCAAGTCCTCAGAAGTAAAATTATCAAGGTTTCTGTTTAAACATGCATAAGTCAGTAAATGTAAAAGTTAAAATTTGCCTGAGACTCTTAACTCAGTTGTATTTCATAACTAAAAAATACATTTAAAAGCCAAACTAGTAATGAAAGTATTACATACAACAAGGGCAGTTTAGATAAGTTAATGTTGCTATGGGAACCCCAGCAGATCTCTTTGTGTCTCAATTTAAAAATCATGGCCCAAGGTGGTTTTAAAAAACAACAGAAGGTAAAATTATTCTCACATTCTCACACATGTAAATTGTACTGTCTCTCTCAGTTCTAAATAGCAGATTCAAGCCAGCCTCTTGACTAGCACAGTAAAATTCAGCTTCGTGTCTTTCTATAATATATTACAGCATGTGAGTTAACCTTTAGAAGCTTCAAAAATACATTAACCAAATTTGGACTGTGAGACACAAACTGGTCTCTTTTGGGCTTTGTCCAGCGCAGCCCTCCTATTCCACATGGCCGTGCACCAGGACCATCTCCACCAGTGTCTTCGGCTTGTCTGGTCACTTTGCTCTCTTAGCCTACCTGAATTAACCTTTTGAGGGTTTGCTCTAGACAAAAATGTAGATCTTGGCAGAGAAAGAAAATAGAAAGACCTATTTGTACTTTTGCCTATAGGTGTTAAGAAATCACACAATGTGGCAAACATATCTGCTCGGGTATTAGTTTAAAATATTTGATAACCGCTTGAAATTCTAATTTTTTCCCTCACACCCATAAAGCTAGAACCAGTTGGTTAAGCAGAGTTTGATATTTAAAAATTCATCTTCTGAGAGAGGTAAATTTCAAAAGGATCATTTTCTTTCTTACAGAAAAAAAGTATATATTCCTTTATCTTCTTACAATATAGAAACATGAAACATGCTAAAAATGCACTCCATTTCTGAAAATTTACTTTTGAGCATTAAATGTAAAAATTCTCACATGAATAACTATTTCAGAAGGTTGTGGGAAAATCAAGATAACAGTTTCTATTATTGTTTTACATTCATTGTGCTACATTTGTCTGTATTAAAACACTCATTTAACATTGACTTCTGATAAGAGAGGATACCCAGAAAACGTAAGGTCTAAGAGAACAGAGGTCTTCTCAAGGAGACCTCTTGAGAGGTCCTTCGAGGTCCAGAGAGGTGCAGGACCCCCCCATGATGACTCAGCTCTTAGGAATTTGTAGAAACTTAAATTCCTGGGACCTGGAAACTAATACTTGCTTCTACTTCTATAAAAGTCCATGGTTCTGTAAAAGCCAGAGCCTGCTTCTCCAGCTTGATTCAAACTGACCAATGAAAAAGGTACCCGTGGGCTGGAACTTTTGGACAAGGGATAAAAAAGAAGACTGAGCCAGTCGGGTGTCCAGCATGGACATTTTGAATTCTTCTGTGCCTTCGCTCCCCTGGCTGAAATAAAGCTCTTCCTCTTTTAAACACGATTTTTGGGTGTCTGTTCTCTCCACTGGGCATTGTCTTCCTGCAACACTGAGAACTTGTTTGCTTTGCCTGTCTCCATGCCATATTGTGAACACATCCCAGTTTCAACCAAGTCATGGCTTTACTTTGTACCTGAAAATTTACCCATAAGCAAATCGCTGACCTCTGGGGGCAAAACCTAAAGCCATCAGAACCCTATGGATTGTTAAACTTCAGACAAGTTAGATTCTTCCCCTAAAACTCTAATGCTATATTCCTGCAGTTTTCCAACTCATAAAAGTTCTGAAGCCGGGATACAACATGCATTGTTACTTCTAACTGGGTTGGATGTTTATTATGCTTCTCACAAGTACAGATAACTTCACATTTGCATCACTAATAGACCTCTTTCAAAGCCTCTGCTCCTACTTCCTGCCTCTGTTAGTCATCAGCAGACTGTATTGGCGTGGGGATTTTACCCACTTATGAAAGTGCCTTGTAAATTCTAGAGCATTCAACATAAGTGAGGTATTGTTACTGACAACAGTGTTTACAATCTACAGGGCGGCATACAGTACTCTAGCCACAGACACTTTTTCAATGGTTTTATGAGACATTATGAGAAAGACAGTATCATACCGTGGAAAGTATTGCCTCGGAGTCAGACAGGAAGCATGGGTCCTACTTTCTAGCTGCTAGCTCTGAGTGCTAAGTTTTGTGCGCATCATACAGGTTACTTCATTCACTCCTCAAACTCCTATTCGTTTTCATGCTAAACACTTAGCCGATGAGACTAGGGCTCTGAGTCCTTGGTAACTTGCCCAAGGATATCACAGCTACTAAGTGGCAGGGCCAGAATTTGGACCCGGAACTGATTCTAAACCTCTACTCTCTGACTGCGTGTTTAATTGATAAGCTCAACTGATGCTGGGAAAGAGAAGAAAGAGAGCTCCCGAGATCAAGTGAAAACTACAGCAGGGGGTTCAGACGACCTTCAAGGTTATGGCTCAGTCTCCATCCATTCTGTGAAATAAATAGGTTCCACGTGTCCACAGTTACAAACTGGGAAGGAAGAGAAGGAAAGGAACCGAGAGGAATGACAAAGCAAAAAGCTTTCAATCAGTTCTTTTCCAGCATTCTGCCTATGCCTGGTTCTGCTCTGCCCCACCCCCCTCCAGCCTTCAGCCTTCCACTTGGCATCCCTCCTGGCAGAGCCTCATCGCTTGCATGCTCCTTTCTGAAAAAAAAAAAAAAATTCCGTACTGCAAGGGTGGGGGTGGGGACAAAGCCCTGAAAATGTCTTCAAAAGGATTCAGCTCTAACGTAATCTAAAATACTGTATGTGAAATCAGGAGGTGTCAATAATATAAGTGGAAACATCTCTATTTAAAGCCTTGTGTGTACATTAATGCCACGTTAATACCAATTCAAGCATCAATGGTGAGCATTTCTTGGAATATGGTTTGGAATTTGATCGGCACAAAGGTACCCAGTGTTAGTGTAGTTATAAATATAAATAGAAGTAAAATAACAGTTGGATCTTCATTTGTAATGAGTCTATATTATGGCCTCAGAGCTGCAGAG